AAGCCCCGCCGAACAATGCAAAAAACCTATAAAATGCCCCTCTATCCATTACCACTACATCCAAGGCTTTGAATTTCGTCAACTCTTTCTGTCGGTTCAAAGCTGAAGCTTCAGCTTAGAAAATGGCGGCCTCGCTTAGCTTCAAGAGATCCGATAGCGTCGCCGAGAGCATGCCAGAGGCTCTCAGGCAGAGCAGATACCAGATGAAGCGTTGCTTTGCAAGGTATTTCAATCATTACCTGCATTCATATCAGATGTTTCTGTAACAAAAGTTCAATTTGATTCATTATATTGTTGATTGGTTAGTTACGTCTCCAAGGGGAAGAGACTGATGAAAAACCAGCAGGTGTTGGAGGAGCTAGAGAAATCAATGGATGACAAGGTTGAAAAGACTAAGCTCATGGAAGGTCTACTTGGCTACATCATTTTCTCCACCCAGGTTCTGTGCTGAGTCTAAAGATTCTTAATTTTCTTTGGAAATTGAGCAGTAGAAACTGATACATATATTGTTTCCTGCAATTTCAAAGGAGGCGGTGGTTCTACCGCCATTTATGGCGTTTGCAGTTAGGCCTCATCCAGGCATCTGGGAGTATGTGAAGGTGAACTCGAATGACTTGTCCGTTGATGGAATAACAGCTGCTGAATACTTGAAGTTAAAAGAACTGATTTTTGACGAGAAATGGTATCAAAGCTACACCAATGGCGTTTTGATTGTTCCATTTCGTTCCCTTCAACCCATCAAACTTAAATGTCTGCAGGGCAATGGATGATAATGCACTGGAAGTAGATTTTGGAGCATTTGATCAATCAACACCTCACCTCACATTGCCCTCATCTATAGGAAATGGTACACAGTTCTTGGCAAGATTCTTATCATCCAAGCTCAATGAGAATTCTGAAAGCATGAAGCCATTGCTGGACTATTTGCTAGCTCTGAATTACCGGGGAGAAGTAAGAAATCAGAATGCTGAGTAGGGCTGTGATTAGTTGTCTGAGGATGCTAATGGAATTTTAAACTGCAGAATCTTATGATCAATAGCACAATCAACACTGTTAACAAGCTTCAGACGGCGCTTCTTTTAGCTGAGGTGTTCGTTTCTGGCCTTGCAAAAAATACACCATTTCAAAAGTTTGAGGAAAGGTGAATAATTTGAAATCTACTTGAATGATTGAAATGATTCATCAGTCCCTATGTATTGTTTCATCAATTTTCATCGCAGATTTATGGAGTGGGGATTGGAGAAAGGATGGGGTGATACTGCAGAGAGGGTAAAGGACACGCTTAATTGGCTCTCAGAGGTTCTTCAGGCACCTGATCCAGTGACAGCAGGATCCCCGCAATATTCAGCATTGTGATCTTCTCCATTCATGGCTATTTTGGGCAAGCTGATGTTCTTGGCTTGCCAGATACTGGTGGTCAGGTATAGTCCCTTTTTCAATAATAGAACAGTTCTGTTGTTACTTTATTCAAGTTCCATCAAAGCTAAAACACTTTTTCTTTGTTACTTAGGTGGTATACATTTTAGACCAAGTTAGAGCGATTGAGGAAGAATTGCTGCTTAGGATTAAACAACAAGGGCTATCAATAAAACCACGGATTCTTGTGGTCACAAGACTAATACCTGAATCAAAGGGAACTAAGTGCAATCAGGAGCTTGAGCCAATTCTAGACACACAGCATTCTCATATACTTCGTGTACCTTTCATGACAGAAAATGGTGTTCTAAAGAACTGGGTATCCCGGTTTGATATATACCCTTATCTGGAGAGATATGCTCAAGTATGTAATTCTGATCAGTATAAAGCCCACAGACATTCTTTTTATGCTCGTGATATTTATTGATTGATTTGATGAATGCAAATTTGATTTTTGGAAATCAGGATGCTTCTGAGAAGATTCTAGACCACTTGGAAGGAAAGCCGGATCTGATAATTGGAAACTACACTGATGGTAACTTGGTTGCTTCTCTCATGGCAAGTAAGCTTGGAATAACTCAGGTAATATATGATTAATATTAAGCAGTCGTCTTCAGTAACAGCTCTTAATCATTTCTGCATTTAACGGAAAAACTTATTCCAACCTACTTATCATTCTTTCCTTCTTCAAAATAGGAATTTCTATCCCTCAATTCATCTCACTTTAACTTATTAAAGTTAATTCTGAGATGTATCTCATGTGTAACAACAAAAAGTTTTATCTTGACAAGCCTATATGTCAAGGTACTTTGTATATGCTGAACGATAATGAAGGGTAACTTGTTTATGAGTTAATCTATTGGTTCTTATAATAAAAATTTTTATATTTTTTATAATATTCTTATTGAAGCATGTTGCTTCTAACATATACAAATTAATTACAAAAGAAAAGAAAATTCAAACAAATATAAGAGCATTAGAAGTTTGTCATAGTTGCAATCTTGTAATTGCTTAATAGCACAAACAAGTAATCTGAAATGATCTTTCACAACCAGGGAACAATTGCACATGCTCTCGAGAAAACTAAGTATGAGGATTCAGACATCAAATGGAAGCAATTAGACCAAAAGTATCACTTCTCATGTCAATTCACCGCTGACATCATTGCCATGAATTCTGCTGATTTCATTATCACGAGCACCTACCAAGAAATAGCTGGAAGGTTGCTTGATGAATATTTATTTATTTTCAGCTTTTCATGAGTAAATGAGTTTAATCAAAAACCAAAACTCTCTGCTCTTGCAGTAAAGACAGACCAGGCCAATATGAGAGCCATAATGCATTCACTCTTCCTGGACTATGTCGATTCATTTCAGGCATCAATGTCTTCAATCCCAAGTTCAACATAGCATCCCCAGGAGCAGACCAATCAGTTTACTTCCCACACTCACAGAAGCAAAAACGCTTAACCAACTTCCATCCTGCTATTGAAGAACTGCTATATAGCCAAACGGAAAATGATGAGCATATGTAAGCCGTTCTCTGAAAAAACATGGTTGAAATTTAAATTGTTTTCTTAAAAGGATGTTACATGATCTCCATGGATGCAGTGGATATCTGACTGATAGGAAGAAACCAATCATTTTCTCAATGGCAAGACTAGACACAGTGAAGAACATAAGTGGGTTGACTGAGTGGTATGGCAAGAACAAGAGATTAAGGGAACTTGCAAACCTTGTTGTGGTCGCAGGCTTGTTGGACACCTCAAAATCCAAGGATAGAGAAGAGATAAATGAGATAAAGAAGATGCATTCCTTGATTGAGAAGTACCAACTGAAAGGTCATTTCAGATGGATAGCAGCACAGACTGATCGGTATAGAAACGGTGAGCTATATCGTTGTATTGCTGATAGCAGAGGAGTTTTTGTGCAGGTTTAGTCTATTCTTCTTTCTCTTTGTTAATCACATCCAGATTGGAATATAATTAAGTTAAATCTAAGCGTGCAATCTGTTATGTACTATGGCAGCCTGCTCTTTATGAAGCATTTGGGCTCACAGTCATAGAAGCAATGAACTGTGGTCTACCAACCTTTGCAACTAACCAGGGAGGCCCTGCTGAGATTGTCATCGATGGCATTTCTGGATTCCACATTAATCCAAATAATGGAGAAGAATCGAGCAATAAAATAGCAGATTTTTTTGAGAAATGCAAGGAGGATAGCAGTTACTGGCACAAGTACTCGACGGCCGGACTCGTGAGAATATATGAAAGGTAGACCCCTGTAAACTCCATAACATATCATTATGTCAATCTTGTCATGACAAAATTTATTGGCAGCTACACCTGGAAGATATATGCCAACAAAGCACTAAATATGGGATCCATATATGGCTTCTGGAAACAGCTGAACAAGGAAGAGAAGCTTGCAAAACAAAGATACATCCAAATGTTCTACACTCTCCACTTCAGAAGTTTGGTTAGATAATACCTTCCCAATGTTTGGCTAAACTGATAAATGCTTAATTTATCGCAAATTTGTGGAAAAAATATTGCATTGCAGGTGAGAATCATGCAGTCATCAAGCACAGTAGCATCCCAACTGGAAAGCTCGGTGCCGCAGAAGATATTCAATGTGATTCCTCAGCCTCGACGTCAGCCACCCCCTCAGAGGCAAGTGTGCGTACTCCTTAGAGTGTTGCAAGCAATTATGTACCTATTCTATAGCATTGTGGAAAAGCTTTACAGACTTGTACTAAGGCTAGCCAGAAGAGGAAGAAATTAACAGTTGCTTGTTGCAATGGTAACAGGAAGGCAGAGTCAAGGATACAAAGGTGAGATATCTTATGGAATTTAGCATCATTCGCGTCAAGAAGGCAGACCGACATCTGAAGTTATCGTTTGCAGAATCTTTTTTTTTTTCTTATATACATATGTTAGAAATATTAGAGGGAATCATTGTTTGTGAGTTAATTTCCAATGCCACATGGTTCAGGGCCATAACAGAATTCTTCCATAAGAGGGCGCCACCAGAAAAGCCAACAGGACGTAAATTATGAGCAGATGGGGAGACTAGTTTTCAGTGTGAATCTGCCGAAGTATATTGTGCAAAATATTTTCTTTTTTATTAATTACTTGATTGTCTTTGTAAATGAATAAGTAAATTTGTTCAACACATTGTTATTATTTTAATGATGAAAAGGGCGTTTAAAGAAAATTAATTCCTAAAAATCAAGCGTCTTTTGGAGTGATTGTTGAATTTCATTAGGAATTCTAAATTTAGTTGTGTTTGTAAAGGAGCACTCTTGGGATCTCCTAGGAATTTATGATAATTGGACAAAACCATAAGTATAATAGGTTGAAGCGAACAATATCTGAATGACTGAGTGTTCAAGTTATTATAAATGATTTCAGAGCATTAAACTTGAAGATGGAAACTAACTGCTATATAAAATAAAGTGTTATACCATGAAAGCCACGTCTTGAACACTAGATGGGACAATCTCCTTTATGGTGGGAACAACCTTTTGAATGTGTAGGCTATCCCTAGAATCCTATATGTGAATAATTCTAGGCTAATAATATTATGAGGACTTATATCAATTATTTGAGTGAGGAATATTGTGAAATCAGTTGAGTAGAAAAAAGTTGAAATCTTAAATATCAAAGGTACTATTATAACTTTAAAAAATTTATTTCAATTATAAAGTTAAACTCTAAACGTATGAAGCACTCTCAAGATAGGTAACTCCTGCTATTTAATATAGATGTTAAAATTTTATTTCAATTCTAAAGTTAAGCTCCAAATGTATGAAGCACTCTCAAGATAGGTGAATTCCTAAGAATTTATACCAATGGAACAACATTATGAGGGCATTAAATAAAAGTGTATAATAATCTTATGAGGACATTAAATCAAAGTGTATAATATTTCAAAACTATTCCGTTCTATTTAAGGAATACAAATAATTATAATTTTTTCTGCATGGGACTAAATTGTTCAGGAACCTTTCACACCGAAAACTTCATATTAATCTTTAATAGGGGCATTTACATACATAACAACATATTCTTATGCATTTATATATCTGTCTACACTGTTGGGGACCATAAACTAGAGTTATAAAATTTTTTTGACTTGAGATCAAATACAATATCAAGAAATAGTATATTACTTCAAGGGATGAAAATATTACCATACAACAGATCCAATCCCAAAGTGATTCACTACAGAAAAGCGCAACTTTAATCGACAGCAAAACCAACGGCTTGTTGTGCGTCAAAAATGTCGAGCTAATTTTTGACGACTTAACAACGGATAATCAGCTAGGTAATTTTCAACGGCATAACTACTGCAAAATTTGTCGCTTTTGCATGGGAAAATGTTCTGACGGCTTATTTAGAGTTACCGACCTTGTATACCACTGGTTACTCTCTATATAAAAACAGTCAGACTATGGTCGTTAATAATTAAAAGAGTCATTCTTCCTGGGAGAGGAGCCGACGAATTCTATTTTTTGCTAACCAACAGCTTTTAACGCTGATTATGATGTTACAAATCGACGGATATTAAACCGTAGTTATGCCGTCGGAAAGCACCTTTATTGTCAACTCTGCGCCGAAAACTCTCATTTCCCCTTTCTTTCGTGCTTCCTCCTCCCTCTTTCAATTTCACACAAACTCTCAAAGCACTAGCTTATCTCACTCCTCTCTAGGAGTCGCCCAAAACCATCATTTTTGCGAGGCAACATTCACTATACAATCGCCATTAGAGCTAGCTCGGAAGATAAAGACAGGATCGCTGCTAACAGAGACCACCAAAATTATTATCTTTCTCAACCTTCCACTCTGCTCCTACCAAAACCCTTGAGGAAGGTAAGCTTGTTCCTGCCATTC